TGTACTGAAACGCACACAAAAAAAATCAGGATGTAAAGTGAAATCATATGTTGTTAATCAACACTCCAACACTCCCACTTTCTATGAATAAAAAAATAAAATAAACGGCATTGTCATAACATATATATATATACCAAATATATATATATATATATATATATATATAAAACTTGAGTTCTAAACTTTAAGATGAGTGATCTGATACCTGATATTGTGGAAGGAAATTCCTGGATGCTTGTTAGGCAAATTCAAACAAAAGTTAAAGCATTTGTTAGGTAGAGCTCCAGAAAGTAAATTTAGCCATTCTTACCTTGGAGACAAGACAAATATTCCCTCTGAAATCCATTCAGTCTGCTGTGATAATTTATTGGTCTCTCTGTGAAATTTGCTTACATGCTAAAATACACAATGCAACTTTTTCATTGTCCAAACTCATTAGTTCATTAGAAATCCCATTTTTCACTGTGGTTTTATAGCTGGCACATCAGGTTTTGGTAGCCAGAGCGGTTCACACTGTACAGAGAACAAAGACGAGGTCATAAAAGCAGCTTGAACCAGGGTCTTTGTTACTCACTCACATTAAAGAGACCTGCCCGCATTCTCCATCACAACAATATGAGACTCTTATTTACATTTACATTTACATTTATTCATTTGGCAGCTTTTATCCAAATCGACTTACAGTTGAAGAATACAACAAGCGAAGTAGCATAAGATGGCAATAAACACGAAAAATGTCTGTTATAGGTTTCAGTCACCATTCAAAATAGTAAAAAGCTAGGACAGGAGGATAATAAGAGAACAGAAAAAGTGAAGTCATAGATTTATTATTATTATTGTTATTATTATTGGAGGCAGTTAGATGTTCATGGAAGAGATGAGTTTTCAGTTGTTTCTTGAAGATTGTGAGGGATTCGGCTGTCCGGATGGAGTTAGGTAGGTCATTCCACCAACAGGGTATGGTGAAAGAAAACGTCCTTGAGAGTGATTTTGTGCCTCTCTTCGATGGGACCACTAGCCGCCACTCATTTACTGACTGCAGGCTTTTGGAGGGGGTGCATAGGAGAGAGCGGAGGAACTGTAGGAGGGTGCGGAACCTGTGGCAGTTCTGTAGGCAAACACCAATGTCTTGAACTTGATGCGAGCCATGACTGGAAGCCAGTCAGGCAGTCTGAGATCTGAGCAGGTACCGTTGAATCATCTGGTTGAAATGAGAGGTAGAGCTGCGTGTCATCAGCATAGCAATGATAGGAAAACCATGCGCCTGATTGATGGGTCCAATGAATGATCAGTCTTATGAGGCACTTAACCCACAGGGAGCAAGACTTTGTGGGAACTATTTAAATGAAAGGAAGGGATGAAACATTGACAACATTGTTCATACTTCAGTTTTATCTTTGAATGTTATAACACAAACAGTTCCTCTCAATTCAAGGGAACACACATACTAGCTTGTTTAAATGTAGGTATGCTATTACTTTTTTAAGTGATCCGACAAAAGATTTACTCTTGGACAAGTGTATCCTGTCCTACAACTGAAGGATTCCTAGCTGTGTCCCAATTCAGAGGCTCTATCATTTGATGGGTACGGACTTCAAACTGAGTGTTGTTAAATGGGACAGTCTATCCTATGGGGGATTTCCTAGTAACTTCAACAGCTGCCATTGACAAATGGAAGCAACATTTGTACTGGACTTTTTTTTTATTGATCTTCAACAGCTTAAAAACAAATCAGGGTTCACAATCTGTTCACCTTAGTCCATGAGCATAATTTAATAAAAAGTATAAACTATTTTTAAAATGACAATTTAATAAGATATAAGTCAACATGTAAACCGATTTAACGTGTTTTTTTTTTTAAAAGTTGAAACTCAATGCTTTCATTTGAAAGTATTATCTGTTTTTTTCACTTTAAAAAATCCTGTCATCATCGGCGCGATGAAACTTGGGATTGCCTGGGCCATGAAGGATCCATCTGTTGTATCCTTCATAGCCCCGGAAACAAAGGACACATTTTGAGGCCCCATTTGAAGGAGACTTTGAAATGGGACAGTCTTTGTTGCACCGCTGTGATGCATTCAGTCTTCGAATACAGCCTCTATATTGGGACACAGTTACTTTCCTGCAGAGTGAAGCTCCAACACACCTGCTTGGAAGGTCCAAGTGATCCTGAAGACCATGATTAGCTGGAAGGTAGCCCTCCAGGGGCAGAACTGGACACCACTTTTCTTGGAGGAGAGTATAATGCAAAACAATTGCATTGAACAAAGGACCTCCAAGTCACATTAAGAGACCAGAATTTCATTTTTAGGATATATTTAGGATAGTGAGCAACCACCTAGCAAAACCCCAGAACACCTCAGCCACTCAAAAGCAATGCCCACCAGAATACTCTAGCATAGTGCTTTGCACAGACAAGCACCATTCAAGCTTTCTTCAGAACATTTGAAATTCTGCTACTGTGTTTCTTTTATGAAGTACGTTTCTGTCAAAAAGTTTTAGCATTGTGCCAATTGGAATGTAATGTTTTCTTTCACTAAGTCATAGTTACTGCTAGGATTTGTTGCGCAATCTGCACATAATGTCATCTTTGAAGGAACAGAACTTCGGACCCTTTGGTAAATTAGTTCACTGCATCCTCAGATCTTTCTGCCTTTGATCATATCTTCCTGCTTTTCTCAGACATTGTTTTCTGAAGAGGGATTCACAAATTCTGAGATCAAAACCCTGGAGATATAAATTGAACCAAAACATTTTAGTCCAAAGTTTTCCATCCTCAGTGACAGGTAAAAGCCAGCAGCTTTTGCAAAAATTCTGAGGGACATGCTTATTCAGACATGATAAAGGGTGATCTTGTCAAGCAGGACATGTTACTACTGTATATATGGATTTTGTTAATCCTGGAGCAACATTGCTATCATGCAAAAATAGTCCTAGCTGTACCACGACTAATTTTAAAACCCATATTTACATATTAGTGTGCATTTTCATGCAGAGGTTATTTTACTCATCACATGGTTGTTAAAATGTGTTATCTCTTGTGTGCAGGCATCACAAGTGAAAAAAACAACAACTTCCAAGTTAACCACCATAAGTCAAATGGAAAAACAGCAAGCAGTCGTCTATAACTCAAGACTCAATATGTGCTCTTTCTCCTCAGGAGATCACTCGAGAAGATGTTTCCTCACTCAGGGAAATCCATCGTCTTTGATAGCTTTCCAGATCCATCCGACACCTGGGAGATCATTGAGACTATTGGTAAAGGGACATATGGGAAAGTTTATAAAGTGCTTAACAGGGTCAATGGCAGCAAAGCCGCCGTCAAAATACTGGATCCAATCCATGTGAGTAAAACCATACTAGATCAAACCTGTGTGTGGTGTATGTTTTTAGATCACAGAGACAACAAGCGCAACTCTCAAAACATGCACATCTATGAGTCCTGTTTTGCCGAACCCTGAGTCGAAATTTTTAAACACAGAGCAAACTCAAGGTCAGATTTGCACAGAACTGAGGTTAAGGGCAGAGTCATGGTAGGCCCTTCAGGTTCAATCCGTTCACATTTGTGTGCATATGCATGCATTTGCGCAATTGCGTGTACCTGTGAGAGTGTTTATGCCTTAAGAGAGACCTGCAGGCGATTACTGACCACTGAGAACAACTACTTGCCACTATCATATTAAGAACAGAACATCTATATCCTGCAGATAATGCCAAAAGGCTCTCCGTCTCTCTCTCTCTCTCTCTCTCTCTCTCATTATTTATCCAGCCACACACTCTTTCTTTTAGTGATGGGGCAAATAAAAGCACCCCTAACAGCACATACCCAGACTAATCATGAAGAGATGGATTTTCAGAAATTGTGCAATTTGTGTTCATTTACTTCACCAGAGTTTCTCCAGCTCACCCTTTCAAGGTCCTGAAAGGAGACTTGGAAGTATTTCAATGGCCTTTGGCTGCCAGTATATTTAAAATTACTCATCTAGATCAAATAAATCTAGGCTTAATTTAATAGACTGCAGCTGCCGTGGTCATTGTACCTTAGATATTCACAAATATTTATTTTCACTGCTTTCCAAGCACAGGAAATGCAGTAATCATGTGTAGTAATAGAAATGTGGAGCACTTTTGAAGCCAAAAGGCATCACACAAAAGACCTGTGCACCGTATCCATTAAAATTCTACACTCGGAGGTTGTTTTTCCTCCAGGTTCAATCAGTAAACAGTAATTTTCCGACATTGGAGGACGTGGAAGCCAACAAATATTATTTCAATATATCCCCCAAGTGTAGTGTACCGTTGTGGCCTGTAGGGCTTTATTAATGCTGACATTTCATGGCCTTTCTGGTTTCGCTAAGTTCAATAGATAAAATTGTTTTGCATCACTGCCTCCCTTTGTGTTTCATTAAAGACTGGATAGTTTAAGAAATGTTTCTGTTCACTCCAAAATGAGAATGGAAGTTTGAACCATTGCCCTGTGTTTCTTAAAAGTCAATTAAATTCATCTGTTTCTTTCAGGACATTGATGAGGAAATTGAAGCTGAATATAACATCCTCAAAACTCTCTCAGACCATCCCAATGTCGTCAAGTTTTTTGGAATGTTCTACAAGAAGGATGTCAAGATCGGAGACCAGCTATGGCTAGTGCTAGAGGTGAAGTTCAGTTCCATGTCATGCACGTGAGCCTCATTTATTTAAAGGGGTCATATGATGCGATTTCAAGTTTTCCTTTCTCTTTGGAGTGTTACAAGGAGGGGGCTTTGTAGAAAACGAAGCGTTTGAGAGAGGCGGGGCATAGAGGACCTACAATAATGTACAGTATTTTAAAAATAATGTGTTTTTTGAACATTAAAGCATGTCAACATATTCTGTTACACCAAATACACAAAATAATGATCTTTAAAAAAGCATCATATGACCCCTTTAAGCTTCTTGTATATCACACACTTGTTAAATTCGGCTAGTGACATTATCGGCAAAACACTTTTAAATGCCTTAATCAATCACAGTTATTATTTTAGCAGCCGGAAAACATGCATATGCTAATGTGTTTTTGAATCAAGGAAAAGTGTACTGCATGCTATATCATTATCACATTATAGATTTTTTGCTACCATCACAGCGTGGGCTGATGGGGTACGTATGAAAGCAGTGGAAATCTGTTTATAGGGGATTAGCAAATTATGCTGCTAATAATTAGTATCAACACCTGTTTTAGGAGCGCATTTAAATTGGAAGACACAGACAGAACATTTCTCAAAGCTGTGGAACGTCAGGGTGAATCTCTCTTTTAAAATCACATTAGGCCTACAGTAATCTTAGTGACCTTTGTGTTGTTTGACTGCTTGAGAACAGACAGGTATAAAGGTGAGCGTTGTGGAAATGGGATAAGAGTGTTACATAAGAGACTTTATTTCAGCAGTAGGTCTGGACAGAGTTTTTGTGGCAAGACAGGTATGGGGGGTGGGGGTGGATGTGACTACTAATGTGGATTGGCTGTGTCCTGCTAAGATGAGCAAGTTCAGATACCAGATCTGTATTCAGACACACAGGCTTTAGCAGGATAGAGATGGTCTGCCTCTGTAATGGGTTACAGTGTTCTAACAGGTCGCTTTATATTGCACCATACTGTACTATGTATTGATGAATAATCCCAGCAGGCACACAACGTCATAAGAAGTTGATATTTGATTAAATCGACGTCGGGTGACCGAAATTCAATGTAAATTCAACGTCTAATGTCAATTTTAAATTAATGTCCAATACCGACGTCAGCTGACGTTGATATTTTGTTGTTTTTAGGTTATGTAACCAAAATCCAATGTTAAGTCAACGTCAAATTAACGTCATTGACGTTAACCCGATTTTCATTTTCAACCAAAACGCAACGTCTGTCTGACGTCATGTCCAACGTCAACCTGACGTTACATAGACGTCCGGTGCCTGCTGGGATGCCCGGTAGTTATGTCTTTCAGCAGTAGTTATCCAGAAAAAAAGTGTTGTTTTTAATTTACTAATGTAGTTGTGTTATTACACCTGAATCATACAGTAATTTGAATGTGCCAGTACTGGAACATAAAATTATATACACCTAGTATTTAATGTGTATTATTTGTATTCTTTAGTTTAATAATATGTTGTACATTTTTTATAGTCACACAACTGCTTGTATGGTTATGCACATAAACCTTCTGAGAAAGTTTCATTTCAGCTCATCAAATTGCAGAAGTGACGTAATGCATAATTTAATTTGAGACTAATACAACATAATTATCAGTGTGCTTAAATTGCGAACTTTTTCAAATATACCCTCAAAGCATG